TGTTTATGTGCGTAAATAGAGCTTCGCAAGAATACTCTACCTTTTTTGTGGTCAGTTGGTTCAAAATACCAACAGGAATCCAAGTTCGGATCCTAACCTCCTTGATGTCTTCAGTTTATAAGTCCTCCCAAATCTATTTTTCTTGTATCTCATTAAGGAACGGTAGATGTCAGTTTTAATAACTAGAAGGGACTGTTTTATCGTATTGACTTCTCTCTCACCTACTCTAACCTGCTCCACATCATGTAGTCGTCTTTGTAGCATTGTTCACATTTGGTGGAATCACTGTGTTAGAAATTTTGAGGTCAGACGAAGGGTACTGAGCAAGACAGCCAGGTCGACTGGTGAGGCTGTGAAGCTCAGTCAACTGCAATGGTTTGGACATGTACTGTGCATACAGAGCCACCGCCTACCTTGACGTGCCATTCTAGGTGAAGCTGGATTGGGTTAGAAGAGTGTCCACGGTGGCCATACGAAGATGTGGCATCAGTCAATGAAGTCTCTTACTGTTGGTCTGAGTTGTATGGAGCGATGTAGACTCCCTGGTTGGAGTGCTCGAGACGAGAGAAATCAGGGGTTGAAGACACTTCGAGACATGGCTGAAAACCAATCACAGTGGTGCAGATGTATTCACTCCTTTATATCTAAGACTTGAATAGTTTCACTAACGTTTATATTCAGACTATTTATTCTCTCGCACAACTTTGTCTACTTTGATATGTCTTTTTGTATTCGTCTGTTCTTTGTGTACTATTGTGAATTGTGGCAACTTGTTCCGATGCATTTGTATGCGAGGTTGTACGACGATTCTGTCTGTCCGCTTAACATTATCTTGTTTTTTGCTTTATTTTAGGACTTAGAGTCTCACTGTGACCCAGCCGATAGTCGCTGTCTTCATGTAACCATTCATGTTCCTGGTCATCTCACTTCTCAAGAAATAAATCCCGGACAATTACGTAATAAAACTAAACCACCGATTATGGTTGCCAGGTTTCTTTTTGAAGATCATATACGTTGTATGACAGCTCGACAACTACTGTCGCGCGGTAAAACACTTGTTGAACAAACAAAACTTCGAAAGATTGCATCGTAAGTTATACATGACATACTTTGACAGTACACTTCAATTATCTACTAATTTTGATGGTATTCGAATGCTTAAACTTGATTACTTTCCTTGTAGACATCAACATTTTTCATAGAATTAGAGATTAATTTAGTTGTACTGTTCCCTGTTTGGTGTAAGACGGTTATTATAATTTGTTTTGGTTATTTTTTTCATTATCTTCCGTGTATAGATTCATTGTTGTCACGTTACTGTTAACATTGCAACTGTATTCAGTCGCATTAGCCTAATATATATTATTATTAATATCTATACAATAGTACATTTGTATTGCGACCTTTAAATCCCACTTTACTATTCTCTCAACCTTTAAAAACTGAGAAAGTGGTGCAACAATTGAAGGTTTTATTGCATATGTACATAAAATGGACATAGGAAGTTTATCATCATCATCCGTGTGAAATAAGGTCATCTGTGTGGTCAATAGATTTTCTATAAGCTGTAAGGTATGCTGATCCGGTCATGAATATTTCCAACAAAATTCTTTTTCGAGGTTCTGAAATATGAAAACAAAATTGATTGTATTAACTAATCAATTATTTAACATTATCTGTATGGCGAGTAGATTTCTGTTGGTTTCAGTGCAGGAATACGGTTTTTATTCAGCCATCACCACACTAACCTAAGGCCAGTCTGTCAAACCATAGAGATTTCAGATAACCTTGTCAGTGGTTCCAATTATTCTCCATAGTGATGATCACCTTTTGATCTAAGTGATGAAGCACCGTGTGGATCGGCAGTTATACATTAAGCCTCTTAATAGGGATTTCTTCTATGTAGGTATTAAATTGTCACCATAAACAGTTACACAATAAGTTATAAGAATCTTTGCCGTGCAAATAGTTGGTATTTATTATTTCCTGAACTAATTTTCATGTACTTTTTTTCTTTAAATATTTTTTCCACATAAACAGTTTACTAGATTTCCCGCCTCAGTTTATACGGGAGAAATTCTTGATTAGTAATACAACTGCTGGCGGTGGTGTTGGTGCCAGTGGAGGTGTCAGCAGTATGAATTATATGTATCATAGTAGTACTAGCAACCAGTATTCTGTGGTTGGGAGCAATCGTCTTGATTCTCCAAGTGTATGCGTTAGTAATACACCAAGCAGTAGACGTATTGGTTCTAGTCTAATGGTTGGAACAGTATCTGGACAAACACAACAACAGCCTTTGAATAGAGAAGGCAATGATAATAACAACAGTGGTATTGCCGGTGGGAGTGTACGTTCAGGTATAATAGTCAACTCTAATTAATTTGTTAAATTTTAATTCTTATTCTGTTCTTCTTCGTATACTGTTCTAGATTATCAATTATTTATTTTCACTTACAAAGCATTGTAAGTATAATTTTGATCAATTTCAAAAGTTGTTGATTCATTTAAACAAATTGATCTTGTGATCAATGGTTTCTTTTTTAGTTTACATTATGTTGTATATGGCAATTCACATGGCAACCAACTTTACGTCTGTTCCCATGTGATTTTCTAACATCTATGACTAATCCATTGAGTGTTTTCTTCGCAAAAACCCGCCTTAAAATATTCATTTCTTTTTTCAGTAGCTTGAATGAGGCTTTTACCTGTAATATTAAGTAAGGGTGAGTATAAAATAACTGGTAAGGTGTATTTTGAAAACCTAAAGATTAGAAATTCACTACTGAAATCAATGCAGAACATGATAAATGTGTTCCATTTTTATGCACTGTGGAGTTTCAATGACTCAACAATCAAATAGAAACAACCAATCATAAACCATTTTAGTCTGTTTATTAGAAATATCACACAGTGAAACAGTAGCATTTACTGGATAACGTTTCGGACACAATTTATTGTCCATATTCATATCAGGTAGCTCCACAACTTCGAGACAGTCTTTATATATTCCTAGTTTTCTCTCCTTCTCTGTGATGACAAGGGTAGTAGAATTTTCCATATATCTGGGACAGGTGCAGCATCATTTCGACTGCATGTGTTTGGTGTTGATTCTATAAACAAAGATTCGGTTATCAATCTCTCCCTCCACCCAACTAAGTTAGTTTTCAACACTGTCACCCTATCCCACCCTACTGTGTGATTGTGTGTCATCGCATGCAGAGCTATAGCCGAGTTTTCCTCTAGACTTCTTATCTCATTAGGATCTACTGATCTTGATTTAGCTAAGTTTTTGTGCTCTGTTATTCTAATCGACCCTGGTCGACTGCTTTGACCTATATACTTGACCTCGCAATCATTGCAAGGAATCTGGTAGGCCAGATTATTTTGCTGAATTGCATCGATAAGACCTTTTAATCTACAAAGCTTGTTCCTAAGTGAGTTTGTTGGTTTGAATGCCACTTTAATCCTAGCCTTATTGAGAATTTTTCGTAGTACCTCTGAGGTGCCTTCCTTGTATGGTAACACAGCAGAGGCTTGAATTCTCTCTTAACCCTGTCACCATTATTACCACTAGTAGTGGTAAGCCTATGTCGTCTAACCTATGCTTTAAGTCATAAGAGTTGGTAAGTCGAGACTTTGAGTGATTTCTTATTGGACCTAACACCATTGCTAAATATTTAGACAACTCGTAAGTCGGAGTGTTTTTAAAATCTACCATAGGCCTGATGGGATAACCTGGCTTATGAATCTTAATAGTACCATACTGGGATTATTAGTTTTCAACATTAAATTAAACCACTTTGACTCACCTAGAAATGGCTTCATCCGGCGTATCATATTCCCTGTCGATTTCTTGACCTTATTCATAATAGTATCCACTGACTTCTTAATTTCCTCATATGGTCCTGTTTCTATATGCACACACACACACAATCACACAGTAGGGTGGGATAGGGTGACAGTGTTGAAAACTAACTTAGTTGGGTGGAGGGAGAGATTGATAACCGAATCTTTGTTTATAGAATCAACACCAAACACATGCAGTCGAAATGATGCTGCACCTGTCCCAGATATATGGAAAATTCTACTACCCTTGTCATCACAGAGAAGGAGAGAAAACTAGGAATATATAAAGACTGTCTCGAAGTTGTGGAGTTACCTGATATGAATATGGACAATAAATTGTGTCCGAAACGTTATCCAGTAAATGCTACTGTTTCACTGTGTGATATTTCTAATAAACAGATTAAAATGGAATTACACTCGACCACAGTGCCCAAGTTTTACACTTATATTAGCAATCACAAACCAGTTCGCCAGGGCAAGCTACTAAATCACTCACGGAGAAATATTAACAACTCACTTCATACTGAAGTTAGTGCTGATTATGTCGTCTAGAAAGATGATGAAAGCTCCTCGATTAAGCACTCCAGCTCAGAGAACACAATACAACCAAGTTCCAAAATGTGTTTGCACTTTTAACCAATGCATTGTGTTTAAAGCTGATTTTAGCCTTTTCTGACAAATACATTTTGCATATCGATGTGAACGACAGCTGTCGGCACTGTCCTACCACAAGTCGGCTTAGATAGCAAGGAACACGTTATTGATTATAGCAGTCGTATTTTGAGTCGGTCAGAAAAAAATCCATCACTCGAATAGAGATGCTAACGTCAGCGACATTCATGCGTCAATACTAAACCGTGTCTTTTAGATGCACATTTTACGCTAAGAATAGGTCATAAAGTGCTACAATGGTAACAAAATTTCAAATATTCTAAATGGCGGGTTTCAGAAGTACTTACAGAAACATGATTTTAAATGTGTATACAGACTTGATAGACAGTATACACATGCAGATGTCCTGTCTCGACGATAGTTCACATCGTATGGAAATTATCCTTCTTCTGTGGAATTTGATGTCCATGCAGTTTCCTTAGCGGGATATGGCAGGCCACAGTGAAGATACAGAGATCGTGTACCATACGTTGTATGACACAACAGGTAGAGTAGCAGAGGCTGATATTGAACAAATTATCTGAAAGACGCTATGCTTATGGGTCATTTGGAACCAACTGGTGATGTGAACTGGATTTTGTGTGTTTAGCCACGTCTTTACCACTCGCTGCGTTACAGTGACGCTTTCCATTTATTCCTTCGGGATTTAGATCACCATGTACTTTCATTAGAATTACTGTCCTCTGCAATTAGTTAGGAGTGAGATTTGCATCTTACTGTTATATTGTCGTAGTCTAGTACAATTTCAGTGGACCTTACGGTTCAGTACTATAAATTGTAAAATAAATGATACTAAAAAAAGAGCAACAAATCTCTTAAAATATTTGTTATCATTTTATTTCGTCTCTTCTTCTTCAGCTGAATGTAGGATAGCAAAGTTTAAATATTAGAAATTCATAAAATTCATGCATTAGGCAATGAGCCACACCTAATGTATGAGGGCTAGTGTTACTACCTGGTTGCCCAAATCACAACTACCCAGTAAGTGACTAATGACCCAACTGTAGACGCTGTGTAATACAGACTAGTGATTACACACACCATAGGAAGATCTGCTGAATAAACATTTTATGAACAATGAAAAATTGTATCTATACGTCTTCATCATGTTGATTCAAAATATTCCATATGTCTTGTTTACTTCAACAAGGTGACTTTCTAATGGATCATCGGAGCCATGGAAATGCTTTTCATCGACTCCGTGATAGGAATAGGACTGATGGACCAGTGCCTTTAGTTTGTTTAACTGGGTCAACTAGTTCAGTGACAACAACAACTGCTACATTATCATCATCTTCAAATGAATCAGCTATCAAATCTCATCCATTGTTTATTTCCAATGTCGGCGCAAATTTATCTACTGAAGGAATCAATCAAGAGATTTCTCAGTTTACAACAACACCAACTGGTGTTGTTAATTCTTTGAGAAAATCAACTGATGAAGAGAATGAAGACAGGATTATTCATATTTCTCAACCTTTTCATAATTCTAAATCAAAAATTTCTATAAGTGATGGAAAAGGTGATCAGTATACATCGGCTAATAATGATACATCAGAAGCAATATGTACAAATGAAAATGTGATTAATAAACAATCGGAGTCTAATCTTTTATCTACAAAGCCTAGACAAGTAGATTACTCAAGTGATATTTCAGATTGTTAAATAAATGCATATCTTTCGTTTATAGTATTCTATAAGCCTTCATCAATCTAAGCTGGTATACTATTTTTGTACTTTGCATATTTGTATATAATGGGTGATGAGATCAGGTAAGGTGGTGGCGGTTGAAGCACATACTGCGCACATATATGCTTCTTTGTTTGTTTGTACATGTTAGCCATTGTTAAAGTTCACTTTTTTCTTCCCTTCAGTCTGTCTGTATCTTTCAGACTCTTGTGTCTTTCAGAAGTCAGTTCATTTTGGTTTTATTTATCGAGGTTGTTTTGATTGCCCATAAGATGACACAGTGTGAAATGAGTAACCAATAAGTATACCACTTTTCAATAACACATTTTGTACTACTTATTACTCAACTCATTATTTTATCCGAATACTCATTACTACTAAAGACCGTCACTCATTACTCTCTATAGTGGACTTATTCAAATATTTGTTGTAAAGGTGTTTCCTTCATCTTCTTCTACTTTTCCATTATTATTACTTTCCATCATATTGTAATGATCATACACTGAAAATTCGACTAAATAGAAATGTTTGTTGTATTCTATTTAGAGCTATCTGGCTTTCAGAAGGATAAGTGTTGATAGTTTGTAAATTCAGATCATTTTGTTTTCACTTCACTTCCCTTACTCATGATGCAAATGTGTATACACGTTTATTGAAACTTGTGTGCCAAGCAGTTGACAGGTTGTATAACCGACCACTCACCCTATCATTTCTTAGTGTACGATAGTAGATAGATAACCAATCCTTTTTGCTTTGCTCTTATTACAGTAATACTTGCACAAAAGTTATCTGTCGTAATCTGGTAGCCTAATCTTGAATTAAGTAGCTTCTTACCTTGTCCATATGACTGGATTTGTTGATTCCACCAATGCCAGAATGCCTTTTGTTTAAAGTTCTACCGTATCCCGAAAATCACTTGATGAAAAGTGCTGAAACTCAAATTAGCTTATAGAAGACTCGACTGACTGGCCCAACACCAAAATGTTTCACATGAGTAATTATCTCCGACATTACTGCTCCCTCATTTGGAAGCAGTTAAGAAATGTAGGCTATAAATCCAGTCCCAATAACCCCCTAGATTTCTAATACCACTAATAGGGTTGTCAAAGTGAAAAATCGGCTTCATATCCTAATATCAACCGAAACTATTTCTTCAAAGGCTGTTTGTGTTTGACTAAATCTCTTAGGTCATCCATTTACACTCCCAATTAACCAATACCTATATTAATCTCATTTCTTACAACACACCGGCAGTTTAAGATTAATGTATTTCCTTGTCAGATGCATAAAAATGAGGCAGTTTCGTATACAGAATAACACCTCGGATACCACTTAATAATCTCAGTCATGCGAGCGTAACTTTATATCACTGACTATCAAAGCAATCCTACAAACAACAAATACATAGCTTTATACACTCTCCCGAAATTCTTGATGTATTGAAACTAAAATTGGTTGCCATTGAGTATAATACTGGACCACTTAACTGTAGATAAACATTAACTCCTAGTGGGAAAAGAAGCAAATTAAATGTAGTAGGTAGCGACGATGGGAAATACTAGATAGTTGTTTAAACTCATAACGAATACTCACTGTTGATGGAATCCCGTGCCGACCTACGGACAATGGTGATCGACTATTGTAGTGTTGCTCCGACGATCACTTGTTTCTGGCCAGCACTAACTTCAGATATGAGGAAAGATACTGTCTAAGATAGAGTCAATCGACTTCGAATCAACGATAAACACAGATAGATCACATCGCTATAAGGTATCGGTTAACGATTGCCTTTCTGGAGTTCCAGTTTGAATTCCGATCATGCGCTAGTACGGACTGTTATGTCTTCGCCCCACTGGTCGCTGGAAACAGGAGATAGTTAGGCCTGTCTATGGTCGATTGCATTATGACAACTCTAAGTACCCTAACCCTAGGAAGGAGATAGCCAAGCCTTTATCTGAATAGGACAGGGATGCTCAGCCTGCAAATACCTGGCGTGTTATTAAGTCTGATGTAGAAACAGCAGTAAAGACAGTTGGCAACTTACACCGGAAAGTTAGCAAACGCCATCGGCTTTCCGCGACGTCATCCGAACTGATTGATGTAAGAAGACTGATCCCAGCTTGCTCTGGCCACCATAAAGAGAGAAAGCAACTCGACAATAAGTTCACCAAGAGTCTTCACGTCGACCCCAAGCAGTGACGGGTGGCGAAAGCGAGAGAGATGAAGAAGGCATGAGTATTGAGTAACAAGCGGCAACTGTCTAAGCTTATTAGGAAAACCTGGAACAAAAAGATGACGGTAAGTGAAAAGCTTCATCGAAAAGCATGGCACTCTGATAACCTACCACAACCAGCGGCCAGAAAGTTGAGCAGAATACTTTGAATCACAGTCAAATCGGCCTCACTAAGGTTTCAATCGCCCAACATCCAGCGTGAACAACATGGAACATAGATATCAGTCCTCTAACTCTCCTTGTAGTTGAGAAAGCTGTATCGAACCGGCAACGATGAAAATCAGCAGAACCTGACAGCCTGCCACCTGACGTTTTCGAGGATGGGGGTGAAAAGTTGCTAATTGAAGTGACCGAGGTACCAGGTAGTGTATGGGAATCAGAGGTAGTAACTTCAGACTGATGTATTTCACTGGCCACCCCAGTCTACAAGAAGGGAGAGGAATTTCCTTGCGACAGCCATAGAGAAATCAGTTTGACTAACATCGTGTCCAAGATCCTAGGGTCCATAGTTATCCCACGTCTAATTGGAGTCCGGAAAAACCATGCAGGTTTCAGACCTGGACGAGGGTGCATCGATCATATTTCCGCACTGCAACAGGTTCTGAGGACAGGGATACCTACCGGGGCCGAAACTTGCCATATTTCTTGACACCAGGGTGGAATTTGACTCAGTCGACCATGAGGTGTTGTGGCAGAATCTAATTATGAAGGAAGTACCGAGTAAGCATATAGCCCCAATTAAAGCTCTCTACTCGAACTCACACAGTCGTGTAAGGGCATATAAAGAGTTAGCATGTGAGCTGACGACAACCAGTGATGTCTGCTCGGGATGCACACTGTCACTGTTCCTACTTAACTTAATCATTCGCGTACTAATGAGCATAACCTTAGGTACGTCTGAGTAATCCCCGGAGGTCATCTGGTTGGTTAACTTCGAGTATGCAGACCATATTTTCCTACTAGGTGAAGACGATGACTCAATGCGAGGTCTCCTGAACCCGTTGAGCATAAATCTGAATACATTTGGCATGAGGATGTAAGGTGATGCTCCAGAACTGGTATTCTGCAAGTACTCTCAGTATGATGATAGGGGGTGAAGTGGTGGGATGTGTCGACCAGTTTACTTACTTGGGAAGGTGCATCAGCTTAAACGGGTTGGTTGCTGACGAAACGTCAGCTCGGAAGACAGAAGGCCCGTTCAGTATTTCCCAACTTGGTTCACCTGTGGTATCAACTGGCGAGATATTCGACTACCTATCAAAAGACGAGTATACTGAGCTGCAGATCGTTCTGTCCTGTTGTGCGGCTGTGAGACATTGTCATTAAAAGTAGAAGACACGAAGCGATTTTTGGGTTTTAATCACAGATGTCTTCGTCGCAGTACTCTCGTTTAGTGGAATCACCGTGTGAGCAATATTGATGTCAGGTGAAAGGTACTAAGCAAGTCGATTGACGAGATTGAGAACCTTGATCGACCAAGATGGCTTGGATGTGTACTGCGCATGCAGAGCCACCGCCTACCTCCACGTGCTATGCTGGGGGGAGTTGGAAGAGGGCTTAGAGTGGCCAGATCAAGACCTAGAGCCAGCCGATGAAGTCTCTCAATGTTGGTCTGAGTCGTGTGAGGTAAGGTAGACTACCTGATTGGAGTGCTCGGGAAAAAAGGAATCAGTGGCTGAAGACTCTTGGTGACATGGCTGAAAACCGGTTGCAATGATGCAGAGGTATTAACCCCTTGGCATCTTCTGAGGCTTGAATAGTTTCACTAACCTTTATCTTCAGACTATTTGGTCTCTCACAAAACTTTGTTTACTTTGATATTAATCTCTTTGTATCTATCTGTTTTGTGTACTACTGTGAATTGTGCCAATTTGAGCCGAGGCAACTGTCTGCAAGGTTTTCGGTTGATTTTATCAGTCCCTTGAGTAGAAACGGTAACCTCGCCTGGTTAACTAGTTCACTAGTTACTAGCCGGTCCAAAGCCCGGGCAAAGAGGGAAGGTTGGGCGTAGGGCTAGCAATCCTACCCCGTAAAACCAATCCAACTGCTACAGAAACTTTAAAGCACAAAGAAAATATAAAAAATAAAAACAAACTTATTCCTCGCTGGAATCGGAGAGACGAAATAACGCCGGTTGGCGAAAGCCTTCAGGAAGCCAATTGGCCGATGTGTCTTCTCTTCTCTCGATGAAAGCGAAAGTAAACGTGGGGACATGGAATGTCCGCACTATGTTCGAACCTAGCAAGGCTGCCCAGACTTCAAAGGAGATGAGAAGGTATAGCATTGAAGTGCTAGGAATTTGCGAAAGCTGGTGGAATGGAAGTGGACTCTCCAAACTGTCAACTGCAGAGTCAATAATCTACTCCGATATTGTCACCGAGACGACACGACAGCCACGAGTACACTGGGTTCTGGAGTGGCTATCGTGATGTCTCCAAGAGCATCGAAAGCTCTCATACAGTGGGAACCAATCTCCTCCAGGATCAGGATGATGACAGCAAGCTTCAACTCAAAAGGAAGCAAAGTCACAATCGTACAATGCTATGCTGTACACCTACAAATAATGCAGATGAAGAAAAGAAGGAGGAATTCGACAGACAACTTCAATCAGGACTTGCATATTTGCAAGGATGCTTTCTCTGTGTCACGCAGCATTATCTACTTTGAAATCACTCCTTTTCTATCTAGCTGTTCTTTGTGTACTACTGTGAATTTTGGCAACTTGAGCCGATACACGTGTGCT